ATATAACTACTGCGAGACTTAGAACAGCAAGATCAAGTATTTACCACAGAGAGAATTGTTTGATTTGTTCTTTGTAATTTGTGATGATGTCGTCTGTCCTGCTCATGTGACCAATATAAACTCATTGATGAATTAGTCACTTAGAGAACAAACCTTCTACACTGTCATCATGTGCATGGTTCTCCGGTCGTCACTGTGGGGGTTACCGGTATAATCACCTGACCGGTATAATCACCTGACTGGTATAATCACCTGACCTGTATGATCACCTGACCGGTATAATCACCTGACCGGTATAATCACCTGACCGGTATAATCACCTGACCGGTATAATCACCTGACCGGTATAAGACGTGTTTTTCGTCCCCTGTGACTCTGCAGGTCTGTTTAACCTGCGGCAGATCGTCTTGGCTAAAGTGGACCAGGCTCTTCACACCAGGATGGGACTCGACCCTGCGGAGGAGTACGGACGCCTCTGTCAGGAGCTTCTGGGAATTCCTGCTTCATCAGGTCACTTCTTGAATGTTTCACCAGCTCTTCTCTGAACATTAAGTTCAAACGGAAAATGACTTCCCCTGGTGGCTCAGTGAGGAACTACACCACTGTTCACCTCAGTTTAAAATGAGAGAAAGAGATTATTTATTAAAATAAGAAATAAAATGAAATTTCACTTAGTTTGTTCTGAGCTGTAGTTTTCAGTTTGAACAGCAGGAGGGGCTGTCGAGGTGCTTTGAAGTTGGACCAGTTTCCATGACGATACCTGCCTCCTCCCCTCTGACCTCCGCTCCGTGTCCTACAGGAACCAACATGCCGGCGACCTTCGGACACTTGGCCGGCGGCTACGATGCTCAGTACTACGGTTACCTGTGGAGCGAGGTGTTCTCCATGGACATGTTCCACGCTCGCTTCAAACAGGAAGGAATCATGAACCCAAAGGTCAGAGAGGAAACTGAAAGTACAAAAAACATGACAGTGTTCACGATAAAACATTTATGATAGAAGTTTAGTGACTCTGCGCCAGGTGAGTTTAGGGTAAGAGTCTGACAATGACCTCGGTCGTACAGAGGGTGGCGCTCTGACTGGAGATGCTCATGTTGAGTTTTTTCTGTTTCCTGTTGTTGACACCATGTTTAATGAAAACCTGGATCACTGTCTGCAGTCTGATTGGTTGACGTCTCATTAATGTATGTAGCTGACTGTCCCCTGATTTGTCCTCCAGGTGGGTATGGACTACAGGAAGTACATCCTGCGTCCCGGCGGCTCTGAGGACGCCTCAGAGATGCTGAGGAAGTTCCTCGGGCGGGAACCCAAACAAGAAGCGTTCCTGCTGAGCAAAGGACTGACGTTAGAGCAGAACGCTGGCACGCCGTGTCCATGCTGACCAATCTCAGCAGCTGGCTCCGCCCCACAGAGAACAACGGACTGAGGTTTTCTAGAAAAAAATTGTAAAATGTTTCCCGACATGGAAAAAACGAGTTGAATAAAATGATTTGAGGTGATTCTCTGTGTCTGAATACCCGACGTCACATGAAAACACAGATCTACACTGTGATAGGACAGTAGAGGTCACATGATTTAAACCTTAAAGGTCAACGTCAACAAAATATGATCAGAAACACGTTTTCATTTCAAGCTTTGATCCGAAGATGACTCCACAGGGGACGATGTTTACTCAACAGCTCCCCCTCTGGTGTCTCCTCACACTGCAGCTCATGACGTCATTTCCTCGGAGAAGGAAAGAAAAACAACTCGGCTGTAAAAAAACAGCCTGAAGGTAAAAAACACCAGAGCGTCAGGAGACGAGATCACAAAAACACTTCGTCCACGTTTCCCCTGAACACTTTACACTTTGAGGTCAAACACATCTTTGTCACATGAAGGCAGAAGCAAAGCCGGTGTCATGTGACAGTTCACAACGTTACAGAGACTTTAACATAATAAGTCGAGCAAATAGGCAAAATTCAAAGAGGAAACAAATTAAACTTTATTCTCTTAAAGCTCCAGTGTTTAATTCAGGTGAAAGGATCTATTGGCAGAAATCTCATGTAGAATCATCCTCATGTTTTCACTCGTTCGTTTCATCTTAATTGTATGAACTGTAGTTTTCTTTGCCCCAGAAAGACCCTTTATATTCAAATACTTTATATTTAAATACTTTATATACATATACTTTATATTTACATGGAGGGGACCCTCTCTACGGAGGCCACCATGTTTTTTACATTAGTCGACTGTATCTTTGTTTTGTTCATATTCTCCTTCGTCAACACGGCAACCCTTCGCCCCCCCTCCTCCTCCACGGCCCTCAGGGGCCCAACTCCTCCCACCGGCCCTAGTCAGTAAACATATGAACAGGTGTGTGTGTGTGTGTGTGTGTGTGTGTGTGTGTGTGTGTGCGATGTCCACTTCTGTAGAGTTTGAGAAGTTTTGTAACTTTTCTTCTGTTTCGTCTGATTAACTATATTTTTCTGATTTCTATCTACGTATATTAATTTAGTTTTAATAACAGTAGAAACCAGCCGTGTGTTTCAGTTCTGTTTTTATTGTTTGTATTCCTGTAAATTCACATACATTAATTTTAACAACAGCAGCAACATTGATATTAAAAATATATTTAATTATAAACTAGTGTGTGTGTGTGTGTGTGTGTGTGTGTAGCTGTTTTGCGTGTTCTAAAGTTAAATATCCGCTGTCTTTGCAAATTGTTGTGACATTTCTTCATGTGTGTTTTACAAACAAACATTAACACAAACGGTTTGGGGGTGAGGGGCACCACAAAGCAGTAATGCCCAGGGCACCTGACTGTCTAGCAGCGGCCCTGTGTACAGCAGCTGGTTCAGGAGGGAGAACGGGTCGCCCTGGAGTCAAGTCTCAGAGGAGACTGACGAGTGACTGAGGGAGAGACAAACCCACAGAAGACGAAGACAGTGGAGTAAGAAAGAAGACGATGGCCCAGCATCCAGACGTCAACGTGCAGGACGTCCTGAGAGGACAGACAGACAGAGGACAGAGGATGAAGACCAGATCCAACATGATCCGAGTGTTCGTCAGCTCCACGTTCACAGGTCAGATTCATCATGTTCTCATCAGACATTATTATGAAGCGTTAATTAGCTTTAATTAACCACTTGATTTATTTAAACAAATCATCAGGTAATGCTTCATAAATCAGTTGAAACCAAGAACCTTTGTGTTTCCAAGTTGTGGATAATTTTCCTCCTGTGTGAGACTCAGACTCTGCAGAGCTTGTACGTCCTGACGTTAACCATCAGTTTATAAT